GATTTGAAACTAGGTTTCATTCTTTGTAATGACTAGTCTACTTACAATTCACCCTGATTTTTAGATCTTTCTTCCTTGGTTGGTCTTTGTACTAGTTACCTAGGGCTTCTGTGTTAGGCTGTTCTTGCATTGCTATAAAGAAATACCTGAGGCTGGGTAATTTATAAAGAAAAGAGGTTTAATTGGCTGATGTTTCAGCAGACTGTACAAGCATGGCTCCAGCATCTGCTTCTGGTGAGGGCTCCAGGAAGCTTACAATCATGGCAGAAGGTAAAGGGGGAGCAGGCATATCATGTGGCAAAAGCAGGTGTAAAAGAGAAGGGGAGGTGCCATACACTTTTAAACAACCAGCTCTCATAAGAACTTAGTCATTATCACGGGGACAGCACCAAGCCATGCATGAGGGATCTGCCCCCATGACCCAAACTCCTCCCACCAGACCCTACCTCCAAATCTGATTTCAACATCAGATTTGGAGAGGATAAACATCCGAACTATATTAGATGCCATAAAATATTTACCACAAAGGTGGCTTTGAACAATAGAAATTTATTCTGCCACAGTTCTAGAGGCTAGAAGCCAAAATCAAAGTGTTGACATGGTCATGCTCCCTCCAAAGGCTCCAGGGAAGAAGAATTCTTCGCCTCTAATTTCTGGTGGTTGCAGAAATCTTTGGCATCCCTTGGCTTGGAGCTGAATCACTGCAGTCTCTGCTTTCATTGTTACATGACCTTCTGCCCCCAGTATCTGTCTTCATGTCTCTTGTCTTCTTACAAGGACACCAATCATATTGAATTTCAGGCCTATCCTAGTCTACTATGACCTCATCTTAGTTTTGAAAGGTTTTTTAAACAACCAGATCTCATGAGAACTTACTCACTATCACAAGGACAACACCAAGCCGTTCATGAGGGATCTGCCCCTGTGACCTAAATACCTCCCACCAGACTCCCACCTTATAAGTAATGGCAAAAACCACAATTACCTTTTGCATCAACCTAATAATTACATCTGTGAAGGCCCTATTTTCAAAAAGTTAACATTCTTAGGTTCTAGGTAGACATGAATTATTTTATTTTATTTTATTTTTTCGAGATAGAGTCTCACTCTGTTGCCCAGGCTGGAGTGCAGTGCACAATCTTAGCTCACTGCAACCTCTGTCTCCTGGGTTCAAGTGATTCTCCTGCCTCAGCCTCCCAAATAGCTGAGATTACAGGCATCTGCCACCAGGAATTAATTTGGGAGGAACACTATTCAACCTAATGCAATCTTGAACTCCAGTTTTTGTGCTCAGCCCTGTGAAAGTTCTGAAAATCTTGTTGAACTTCTTAGTGTTTTAGCCATTACTTCTGAATGAACAAATGCCTTGAGGGCATATGTGCACCAAATGTCTGGCGTACCCTTCTGTGTTTATTTTCTTAAGTTGTTTGTTTAGTTTAGTTTTTAATGAGGAAGATTGGTTTGCTAAGCTTATCAATCATAGCCTGAAATGGATGTCTATTATAATGTTTTGATTTAATATTTTCCATCATCACTTTTTATTGCTCTTTATTTCTTCTTGAGTATTTAATTTCCATTTGGTATCATTTCCATTCAGCCTGAAGAACTTTCTTTAGACTTCTCATAGTATAAATTTTCTAGTGAAAAATTATCTTGGCTTCTTTTAACTTGAAGTATCTTTACTTTGTCTTATTATTGAAGGATATTTTGTAGGGTATAGATTTCTGGATTGACAGTATTTTTAAAAAAAATCACTTAAAAATGTTGCTTCACTCTCTTCTGGCCTCCATAGTTTCATAGTGAGGAGTTGGCTCATATTTGAAGCACTGTCCCCCTGTATATAATACCTTATTTTTCTCTTGCTGCTTTCCAGCTTTACTATTTATATTTGACTTCTGACTCTGATTCCTGACTTCTGAGTCTGACTCTGATGTGTCTCAGTGTGGTTATCCTTCTTTGTATTCATGGAACACCTTGGATCTGTAAACTTATGCCTTTCATCACATTTGGAAAATGTCTGGCCATCACTTTTTCAAATAGTTTTCTCCCCATTTTTTTTTGCTTGATTTTTATGTTTCTGGGACTATAATTCCTGCATGAAATTAGGTCTAACAAGTGCCTGAAGCTTTGTTCATTTTTTTCCTCAGTCTTTCACCCACACTGCTCTGTGTGTCCATTGGATTAAAAATCCAGAAATGCTCTAAGTGATTATATTTGTAATTGCAAATAGAAAACAATGTGTGCTAGAATGGTTATGGTAATGAATGGTTATGTAAGTGTGGCAATAAGGAAAAAGGTATATCGATATATGAGGAGAGGGTGGTCTTCTTAAGGAGCCTATTGAATTTTTCCATCTCCCAGATGAAATATTTATTGTAGTTGGCAGAAATATGAAAGAACACACAAAGAATAGCATGTTAAATAAGTTTTATAAAATGTGGCATTTTAGCCATAGCTCCGGGTGCTGTGTGAGAATATAAATGAGAAAATATTTCATCATCATAGAAATTAGGAGAAATTTAATTTCCATTTTATGGTGATACCTACTAGTACAGCATTCATTTGTGAATTCTTTTCCCACCCCTACCCCATCTATTTGAATTGTTATATACTTTTTCATGAGGAAGGTTTCAGTTAGTGCAGTTTATTTGAAGGGAAATGTGGTGAGGCAGGAAAGATGGAAGAAAGTTTGGAGATTATGCATTGTCACAGAACTCACAGAAAAATCAAAGGGAGGTAAACTAGGATGCTCTAGTCTTGCTAACCTGGGAATAGAAAGGTAAAAACAGTATTGAAAGGTGATAAGTTTTCTGTAGAAGTTAAAGATTTAGTTGTCTCAGGATTTTATGTATATGTAATTTCATAATTAGAAATTATATAATTGTTCTCTACTTCATCAGTTATTTCTCTACTTCTTCAGTTTTTAAGTAATCCTTACAGGTGTTCTCTTCTCCTTTAAAATTCTATAAATCCTATTTCATCATCATGGCTTTCTGTTCATGTGTATTTGGTTAAAGGAAGAGTATAGATGCTTTAAAATATTTGAAGACAAAGTTCAAATAACCCTCTGATAATACTCATATCCAAACACTGACCCAGACAGGGCTAACGGATACACTCACGTACACAAGGACATATAGCTCAAGGGAAAAATGTTGCTATATGTTTTAAAACTTTTTTTTGGTAAAACATATTAATTTTTAATGTAGTATAGTAAATGGGTTATAGCATAAATGTAAATAAGCTGTCTTCTACCCCCAATCCATTAATGCTCAATTTAAATTTAAGAATTTCAAGATAAACTAATCAGGAACAGCTTTTCTCAAATCAAGCCAACCATCAAGCTCCATTTGAAAAACATTTTCCTCCTTTGTTTGAGAGTAGCATTGATCTTTCACTTGTTGCTTTATTTGTGAGCAAATGAAAGCATTGGGGCAGGGAAGCCCCTGGGAGTGTGACCATTTCACACTAAGCCCGTGTGGCATTAAGCCAGCAGGTAGAGTCCTGGATCTCCTGCTGCTGGGGTCCTGAGAAGGACCTCTCTTTCCCTCTCCTGGGAGTGCTGACCTCTGGGAGTGACAGGAAGTGGAGCCAACAAGAGAGAAATTTAGGTCCTCTGGATACCTTATGGAGGATGCTTTGGTTTCTCTTGAGAGCTCTTGCACCTTGAGCTCTTCCACTTTCTCCTTTTTTGTTGCAGACCTAGTGTTGGGAGTTGGGGAGAGGTGAGGCTTTCAGCAAGACTGAGGCTGGAGTCTTGATACAGACCCCAGGGAGGAAGCTCTTGCTGAGTCTCCAGCAGGCGGCTCTTGTCTAGTTTCTGGGCTATGGCTTGTGACTATCATTTGCTAAAACTTTAGGGAAGAAGGAATGCTCAGATACTGAGGTGTCTAGACTATGTAACCATGGGTGGCTCAAGGGTAAGCAGGCCTCTTTCTTTTTGCCCAAGTCTCTCTTGATTTCTCCTAAGTTTCAGTCTCCTTTCAACACTTCTTTTCACAACTCTCAGGCCTTAGGTCATCATCTTAATGCTCGGTCTATGGAACCTCAGGGAAGAATCTAATATCAACCATTTGTCTTTTTTGGGGTTGAGGTGGGTGGGTAGTTCTTTTATTTTAAGACTTAAATCTTACTGTGGGAAAGCCTTTACTTGCTACTAACCAAATTAGTAGAAGGTATTTGGGAGAGGAATTGGTTCATCTAATCTATTTAGGATAAAGTTGACTTTAGAGTGAGGATGTAATCTCAAAAGTTTGTGTATGAGTTGTGAATCTCTAGAATGTGATCTTTAGGTGCTCAGGGGATTCTGGTGCAGGTGTTAGATGAGTTGAGTTGGCCGTTAATTGGGACTTTCCTGTTGCAAAACAGAAAATCTCAACACAGCATTTCCTGATGACCAGTTTCTGTGTCTTGTTTGTCTCATAGACTATACACTCCTTGCTCAGATGCTGTACCGATACTTTGCTAAGAAAATTCAATCTCTTAGTGTAATTTTCAAGACATATTTATTAATTGAGGCTGACTCACCATCCCAGAGTTCTAATATCATCAGTGGGCTGTCCAGTGAAATCAGTCTTGAAAATGTTCCTTCAGGTATTTGCACTAGTCCACTAACTCTGCTCCTCTTGTCTCCTGGAGCTGCAATCCTAGCTTAATTCCAAATTTGGACATTTATTTATGTATTCATTCACTCAGTCAGTCAAGCATTTAATATTTATTGGGTGTCAGTTCTTGTTGCTGTGCTAAACCCTCAGGGTACCAAGATGAGTAAAACCTCAAAATTCCATAATCGTTGGAAACCTTAGAGATCATCTGGTGAAAAACAAGAAAATCAGAATAAAATACCTTATGTTGCATGAAAAAACAGCTTCTCTGCTCAAGAGAGGTGAGAAGCCAAGAATAACTCTGTGTGCCAATTTCCCAGACTCCGAGAATTTTATAGCCTTAAAGTGCCATGGAGATTCTGTTGTCATTTATGCTTTTTGCTATTTGTGTTACAGTTAACAAGATCAACCTTGCTGGGAAATGAACAAGCGACCAGGTGAGCTCAAGAGTCCTTTCCTTTTTCCCCAGACGCCCCACTAGCTCATGGATTTCTCAAATAGAAACTGAGGTCATTGCATATTTTAGAGATGTTTAAATAGACTTAAAGCTAAAAGGGGTGTTAACTGAAATCTTTCCCGTTTTGGAAAAGAGAGGGAAGAGAAAGGACTGGAGGGCACTGATAATTCGGATGAAGGGTTTCTACTCAGAAGGGAAAGTGAAAAATTTGGATGAAGTCAGTTTTATTCAAGAGCTAGTAGCCTGTTAAACAGAACTATAGTTAAACTTGTGTTAATACAGTTAAATGCACATCTTTACATACTTAAAATACCCAAAGACTTGCTCATTAGAATTGTGAGCTAATATTTATACTGAGCATTAAGGGAATGGTTTTGAATATTAAAAATGCTCTACAATAGAAGTTTTGATTGTGATTTGAAATGCTCCTCTCTATTACCTTTGTAGGAATTAGTGGATGATAGTCTTGCTGTCTTCTGGCATTTGTGAAACACAAGTTTTCTTTTCTATAGTTCTCCTATTCCTAGAAACCGTGCATCTGCATGCGTGCGTGCGTGCACAGGCACACACACACACACCCCATTAAAAAGGAATAATAATTCAGGATTTCTGAACATCTTTATTTAGGCAATTTTCTGTCAAATCAATAAAATGCATTATATGTCCTTTTTAATGAAAAAGAAAGCAAACGCTAAAAGATATAACATCTGCTGGAAATAGACTCTAAATTAAAATATGCGTAGATATAAAGACCAAGGGACAAAAGATAGGTGCAGGAAGTATGGCAAGATGTTAATGTTTAAAATAATTTTTAAAAACATCATGCATGATAGCAAGTGCATAGATGAAATATTTTTGGAGTTAAAAAAAACCCATTCTGAATCTTATCTGAAGGTTGACAGCAATGTTTATTTGCTTTAGGCATAATTAATCTTTAATATATTCCCACCGGGTTTTCAGATCTTAATAGATGGAAAGGCCATATTCACTGACTATTTGAGGATTCAAATTTTCTTTCAGGAAGCGTCATTCTTACTTGAATTACTAAATTGATTAATCCCTTATAAGTGATTAAGAACCACTGCTTACTTCTTTCCCACTTTACTCATCCAAAGGAGATTTGTGTTTATCAGCTGGTATAATGTAGTCCCTTAAGTGAATGGTATCATCCAGTCCTTTTGGTAAGAGATCTTCTGTTTGGGACAGGAAATATAAAACTAATTGGAAGACAGATTTGTTTTACCTAACAAGGAAGAGCTGTCATGAGGCTCAAGTGAGAAAAAAGTATATTGAAAAATTGTAAAGAACATAATAAAATGCAAGATGAAATTATGCTGTCTGATGACTTGCACACAACTGCAACACAATGCAGTGTTGTAAACCTGCAAGCTATGGAGACTGGTCCTGTCAGTGGATCAATGAGACAGCCTCTGATGTGGTATAATTTCAAGATTTCCGTAAGCTCTACCCACTACAATCCCATTGCTTTGCACTGAGGTGTTGGCTCCAGAAAGCCTCTGTTGAAGGGATTGTCCTACAAGGTAGAGAAAACAAATGAACTGGCTTTATCAGACCAAGCAGCTCTCAGCTAAAGAAAGCCTACGAGGGAGGGAAGCACAGGACAGATAATTTTTGAAGGCATGCGTGTGAGGTTAAGATGGGAATTCTGTGCATGCAGGTGAAGCTGGAAAGTTTATTCTAGGCAGGACAAGCCCTCAGCAGTATCCTGGTAGGAGGCTCTGGTAATCTAGGGACAGCATGAAAGCACTGTGTCATTTGTCTGGAAAAGAAGACAGAGAAGAGGAAGTATGAGAGTGAGGGACACACCCAGGGTCTACACTGCCTGTGTCGCAGTTCAGCTGCAGCCCAGTCCTGCGCGGCTGACCTCAGTTCGTTGATCTCTGAGCATGCCCATTCTCTTCATAAAGCACTTTTGTTTTCTGCCCAGTGCACAAACATCACGACCCGTGTCTGAGAATGTTGGGAATTTTATTAGGTCCATAAAGTTTTAGCTGTGGTCTAGTCCACCGAGGCCAAAATAAATAAATCGAGAGAGTGTAAAAGTAACATTAAAAAAAAAAAAACCTGGCTTAAAGAAAGAAAAACTACTGAAGCTCTAACATAACTTTGTCACAGTGGTTTTAGAGGGGATTTCTCCCTACCAGCTAAGAATTCTGTAAAGTGCAGGCTGAGAAACTGCAGTATAATTGCAGCCAACAAATTCACTTTTCAGATTTCTCTGAGAATATTCTGTTCTGTGAAGTTAGGTTTAGAGGTTAAAATGATTGACAATTTATTGGCCACAGGCCTAAAGCTAACTGGATAAAAAAGCAAAATGCCTTGGCTCTCAGAGTCAGGCTTTCTGGGAAAATATTAAAGATAAAATTAATGGCTATTGATAAAGTAATGTTTTTCCCAATGAACCCTTTCTCTTATCTACTTTCCTAAGGTTCAAAATTAATGTCACTCAAATTTTCTCCCACTAACATTGTTAGTGTCATAATAATGATATTAATTATACTTACTATTAAATATAATAATGATTTGAGTGCTTACTATGTGTCAGGCACTATTCTAAGAACTTGAAATGCATTAATTAATTTACTTCTCACTATGTAAATTAGCTACTGGCATTATCCTTCATTTTATAGCTGAGAAAACTGAGACACAGACCAGTTAGGTGACTTGCTTTAGATCATAGAGCTAGGAAGTTGAGAACCTGGAATGAAAAAATATATATTTAGCTACAAGCTCTTAAGGTCGTAAAAGCATTATGAATGAATTTCTAATTACCCTCCTTGTGGTGTCTTTCCCCATGGTAATCATCATCAAAATCCTTTTTTCGGTGTCCAGTATGAGTCCTAAGAATGTAATTAATTAGTAGTGAAAAAAGCCATAATTTTGCAGAGCAGAAAAAACAAGATTGAGAATAATAGTAGAATATGATGCCCCCATGTGAAATTTAAATTCCATACTTAAAAAAACATACAATGTTAATATCCCATATGTGTGTTTTTAAAGGCATATCAATTTCATGAGAGTAAGACTTTCTGGTCCATGAGAAGGGGATGGGAAGGGTGGTGGTGAGAGTCTGGAAGCAATAACTTGAAATGGAAATAGTTGTTAATTCTGAGTGATATGACTATTTTCTCCGGATTTTTTGTATTTCTTAAATTTCTATTATAATTTTTTTTTTTTTTTGAGTTGGAGTCTCACTATATTGCTTAGACTGGTTTCAAACTCTTGGCCTCAAGCATCTTGAGTAGCTGGGGTTACAGGTGAGAGCCACCACATGTTTTTGTATGTTCCTTATTGATGCTCACTGAGTGATCGTTGAAAGACTAGTTCTTGATTGATCCTTGGTTTTCTAATTCGATGTGTAGTTGCTTTCAGAACTGTGGTGGCATAACTTCTATGAGTTAGTGGAGCCACTGAGATGGCTCTTAAAAGAAAACCCACAGGGCTATCTGGCAGTCAATCCGAGTGGAATAAATTTAAAACAGAGAGTGGAAGAACCAGTGGAGGTGTCCTCAGTCCTTGTTCACAGCCCTGAAGCTGAAGGAGCTTAAAACTAATTGAAGTTTTGAAGGGGAAAAACCCAAAGTCCCTCACATATTGCAAGGTAGACTAGCCAAATGTCAAAAATGTATGGAATCTGGAACCAGACTACCTGGTTAGAATCTGGCTCCTGATACTACTGGTTATGTAACCCTGTTCTTCAATGCTTTCATGCGTAAAATACATGTACCAGCCTGGGCTCTATGGAAGCCGATGACAAGATGGACTTTGGTGTGCAGGGCACTGATGAGACATCAGGACCTGTAAAAGATAAAGGAAGGAAGGGAATTGGGCAGAGGGAGAATTCAAACAGTGATTCAGGCCTGACAGTATAGGGGCTAACCCAGCGGGGAGCCCTGCAGTGAGTGTTGTCCGTCAGTGTTACCCCAGGTCATCCTTTCTTCCCCGAATTTATTCTGCTGACATAGGGTTCCTGTGTGAAGAATGTGACTCTGGACAAGACAGCTCTGTAGTTGAGACAGACCCTGAAGGAACTGGAGGCTACCTGCTGACTACTCTTCCCAGCAGCTGAGAAGTGAGTCCTTTTTTGGAGTGGGATCTTGGTGACAAATCTCCATGTCTATCAAAAAAGTAAGTAATGATAATACCTACCTCATGGGGTTGTGACGAGGAGTAAATGAGCTATTATTTGGAAGAGTTCTTAGAAGAGCGTTTGCTGCTATCATTGTGTGTGCATATGTGCATGCAAGCGAATGTATGTAATGCTTCTGTTCCATCGCCAGAATCTTGGAGAATGACTTCTAGAATGTAGTGAACTAAAGCGAATGTTTCCACATCTTGTTTGCTCTCCTTCTCTGCTATTGCAAATTCTGCTGATAGAAGGCTCATGGGTTATTTTATGCGTTACTTTGTTAGGCAACTCAGGCGGTCTTGACTTCTTTGTCTTCTGGACATGATGAGTGTTACAAATCTTTTAAATAACCCTGGGCAGTCATGATATAAACCTTGGCCTGTTTTTCCTACTAGATGATAAAATGTGAAGAGTAGGAGCCAAGCAGAACTAACGAAGGATGTGATCTAGGTTGGGGCTCCAAGGGAAGATTGAACAAATTGTAAAAGGAAGCAAACACACTTCTGTGCATTGAATCCTCAATTGAGACTCTGGGAGAGCAGGCGGCTCTGTAGGGCTGACTTCAATCAAGAAGCTTGGTGTTTAGGGTACACAGAAAGCCCAGCCTAGCTCTCTAGATTGACTGGCTTCTGAAATTCCAGACTCTGGTTTGCGTTCTACCTGGGCTGTCTCAAATGCTGTAGGCTCAAGGAGCAAAGAACTTCACGCTTTGAAACTGTCTGAGGTTACTTTTCAGATTGAATTGGGTAACAAAGGGCTTGCTCTTGTTGACAAAGAACAGAGATGTTTGTTTCTTGGGGCATGGTGATTGGTACTAGGGTATATTCTTTTAAAGAGTGAAGCTATGAGTAAAGGTTTTGATTTTGGAGGAGTTCACAGTCTAAAGAAAGCAGAGCACAAGCTGAGAAAAATGTGTGCATGAAAATATGAACTTACATGTTAACGTTGAGAGAATGAGGTCTACCTTGTGGCTAGGTGAGTTCTGAAGGTGTTTTTGTGGGGAGACTCTGAAGAGAGGAGTCTGGGAAGACTCTGAGTAAAGTAAACGTTTTGAAGAATGTTTTGAGGAGGGAAAGAGATCATGACTTGTTGAGAAAGAAGACCCTGTTAGGAATACATGTTTGTGAATTCCTTACACAGTTGAACCTTGAACACCACCAGTGTTAAGGGTACTGACCCCCACACACAGTAAAAAATTCTTGTATAACTTTTGACTCCCTCAGAACTGAACTGCTAATAGTTTACTGTAGACCAGAAGCCTTACTAATAACATAAACAGTGAATTAACACATATTTAGTATGTTATATGTATTATGTATTGTATCCTTACAATAAAGTAAGCTGAAGAAAGGAAAATGTTATGAAAATCATAAGAAGGGAACATGTATTTACTATTCACTAAGGGAGAGAGAGTCATTATAAATTTCTTTATGCTCCTCATTTATGTTGAGTAGACAGAGGAGCAGGAGAACTTTTTATTTTTATTTTGCACTCTGTATGTCTTAGGGGAGGCAGAGGTAGGGAGATGCAGGAGGTGGGAGGGGAGACAAGAGAGGCAGACACACTCGATAAACTTTTATTGAAAAATATCCATGTGTAAGTGGACCTGTGCAATTAAAACTTGTGTTGTGAAAGGGTCAGCTCTATGCAGAAATCATGTATCTGTCACTTTGGTATCCCTAGAACTTTGCATAGCATCTGGCATATGGTAGATCTCAAAAATTGTAGGTTGAGCTGAGGGCAACCATTCAGGCTACTGTGTAGGAGATGGGTTGGAGTAGAGAGGGACAAAGTCGAAGAGAAATGTGACCATGAGCCGGGGATAAGAGGTCTAGAGAGGGCATGGCCAGGACACCAGGAATGACAAAGGAAGTCTAAGACATGTGTGGATCTGTGTTTCTTCATCAGGGTCTATTGACGTGTTCTCAAGGCCCAGGAAGTGCTCCCTAAGATTTTGAAAAGGCTGCCTTTTTGATCATCTGAATAACCATATGGTAACTATTCCTGCTGTATGATTTAGATGCTGTATTTTCTTTGTATTTGTAGTTGAGGATTGGCACCACGTAATTGCCAAAATGACAGCATTTCACTTTTAATATGCTGTTAGGCACTCCTGGTTGCTGTTGGGTTGGTTGCTCCTAAAGTCGACATCACAGTAACCATTTTTTGGCGGCCGCTGTTCAGTGGAAGACTGTTTATCCTGGAGTCTAAACACTAGCAATGCTCAAGAACAAAATTGTTTTAAATGACTTTAAAATGTACACATATTTATTCTCTTTATGTAACAATGATGAGCCCTGGTGTTTGCTCTCATGGATGCCTGGGAATTCAGGGGTCCAGGCAGCATGGGGCATCAGGAAGGTGTGAATGACCATAAATGGTCACTATAGAATGATAGCAGTTCCCCTGCAACCCCTTGTCTCTGTCTTTCTGTCTTTTTCTTATAAGATTGAGTTGTGGTGTTTCTGGGATATTTATTATTTTGGCAGGTAACAGCTAAGCAAAAGTGCTAAAACGTTAAGTTGAAATTTGGCAAATATATTTTGCGTATCCCATTGTTTCATCTGAATACTGAAAAGAAAAAATAAGGTGATGAGTATATGAAATATTGGGGTGTGGAGCAGTGTCTTCCATCCTTGTATGCTTTTGGAATTAAGGCTCTTGAAATATAGGGAATCTTGATAGAGCGATAAACCAGGACATGCAAAAAAAAAAAAAAAAGACAAAAGTGTGCATGTCAAATTTTAAAAATCAGTTTCAAAGACAATTTCTCCTTTGCCGTGAAATTTGCTCTCAGAAGAAACTTTCATAGAACAAGATTTTGGTTCCTTGATTGTTTGACACATGGACTTGCTGATTTGGTTTGCAAGAAAATGGAATGGTGTGTCAGAGCAATCTATTGTTAAATTGTTGAAGACTAATGAGAAAAGAAAAGGGTGGGTTTAATATATAAATGATGGGATTGTACTACATAATCGTATAGTTCATCATATGGAGGAAATATTTGCAGTTACTGGAATACAGAGAAAAGGTTGTAAAATTGGGTTATCGTGTGGTAAACAGTGGCATAGATATGCTGAACTCAAGTGTCATTGCCTAGTAGCAGTAAGTTTCATAGAGTCCATTGTGAATTGTGTTTGATTTGGGTGTGTTAATAATATATAATTCTTTCAGAGTTACCAATATACTGAAATGTGTAAGTTTAATCCATGAGGCCAGCTACTTTTGTCTGTTTTATCACTGTATCTCCAGCACTTTCAACAGTATCTAGTACATAATAGATACTCAGTAAAAACCTTTTGGAATGAATACATTTAAATTTTATTGGTTTTATGCTTTCATTGTGTTTAGTTCTTGGATTTGTTTTTGTTTTATGATTGTGTAAGAACTTTATGCTTAAGAACTTTAAACCTAGTTCTTTGTTGTGCATGTTGAAATGAAATTAAGATAGTTAAATTCAACCAGAGTCTGTGAAAGTGTTTATTTTTATTGGTGTCTATATTTTGCTTTAGTTTGTCAAGCACTGCAATGGAGCAGGAGTAATCATATTACAGACTCTGTTTTGTGTGTGTTAGAGGACAAGCGAAGTAGAAAATGAACAAAGAAAAGAGAAAAGGAGAAAGCTTAGACATGAAGCCAAGACTATGAACCTCAGGAGTTTCCAGGGACTGATGCCATTGCTTCTATAGTGGGTTAAATATTTCCCCCGGAACCCTGAAAAAAGAATGTGAAACCAGAATTGTGAAGGTGACCTTATTTGGAGTAAGAGTTTTTGCCATTGTGATGAAGGCAAGGATCTAGAGATCAAATCATCCTGGCTCAGGAAGGGACCTAAATTCAATGATGGGTGTCCTCCTAAAAGAAAAGAAAGAGACACACAGAGACATAGCGGGGAAGGCCATGAGAGGAAGAAAGCAGAGTTTGGAGTGATGCACTTACAAGCTAAGAAGTGCCGAGAACTGTGGGCAGCCACCCACAGTGTGGGAGAGGTGGGGAGCAGGTCCTCCCTCAAGCTTCCAGGAAGAAAGCAACCCTGCAGATGCTTTCCCTGCAGACTTCTGGCCTCTGTAACTGTAAGGGCATACATTTCTATGGTTCTAAGCTACCACACTGGTGGTAGTTACTGCCCTAGGAAGTGAATGCAGCAGTGGAATATTGAGATAAATAGAACCCATCTTTAGAACTGATGAAACACTAATATGCTTGCTTATTAATAGAGATCTAATTTTCTTACAGAAGTTTTTGAAAGTAATATGTCTCCTAAGTGGATTCACATTTGAGAAACTCTGCATAAAGCCCTTTAACAACCACCCAACTCCCACAAAGCAGATTTCTGACATGAAGGATGTTCTTTCTTTGTCCAGAGCCTCAGTTGCGGCCATCCACCCCACCTCTCCTCCACTGAGCACGCATTGGCTTGAGTGGGCTCACGTACTCTAGTCAAGGCTCCTCTTTCGTCGTTCCTCTCCTCTGAGGTAAAGAAAGAGCAAAATGAGGTGACTGGTTTGCTAAAGGAACTATTCCATATGATTATTGCTAACATCCAAAGTCAAAGCCAGATACAGTCCCATGAGTCATTCTTGACTAACATTATAATCTGTCCATGGGCTTAATAATTGTCACCTTTCCATGTGTTGCCTTACAATTATTAATCTCTTTCTGCATGAGAGGAGTACTTTTCAATGCGGCTGTCCAGAAGTTAAGAGTGGAAAAGAGTATATTTTCTCATTATAGATAGTTTTAAAACTCAATTTAAAAATATTTCCAAATGTGCACTGACTATATAAAATATCAAATAATCATTGAATCAGTGCCACATCCATGAAGATTTTTTTTCCTGGAAGGAAGATACATAAATTAGATCAGCATGGGTCCTACAATTTTTTTTTGAGAAACCTGTACATTCCTTTCCTGTCATAATAGCCAGAAAAGGCACTTTATATTCCACATCCCAAATAGAGCCTTGGGTTTAGAAATGCTAGTGTTTTCATCTGCTTAAATCAGAGAGGCCTCTGAAGGGTGGGGAAGAGGTATTATTTTTTATTTCAACCATTTTAAAGAATTAACTTTCCAGAAGAACTTTTGTTTCTGTAATAAACTTAATTAGATCTACTTATTCATTTGGGAAAAAAAAAAAAGAAAGAAAAAAATACTTGGAAGAGCCAAGAATCTGTCAGCTCCATAAGCTCTGGTGTTGAACTCTTACAAAATTTTTGCAGTGGGAGCAAGTCTTACAAGGAAGCAAACTGGGGTGACAAGATCTGGGCCTGACTCTGTTGGTAGTGTGCTCTGCAATCAGGGAAGAAAGGTTTCATCTCTCAATTTATTTTCTCAGTTAGGATATTTCCCAAAGTGAAACTGCCTTCTCCCCTAACCCAAAGGAATGGGAACTGTCTTGCAGTGCGGCAGCCCGCAGGGGAGGAGAAGCTTGAGAGATGCTATGCCTGTGTTCCCAAAGCTGGATGTAAAGGAACTTGAAACGTTGAATGGGGTTTTCAATGAATTGGCAAGCTTGGTATTGAGGCGTCTTCTGTGTTTAATCTGTGGATGAAATGACTACCTTTTGTATTATGTTTTCACGCATAGTAAAGCCCCTGGATCAGGAGGCCGAGGAGGCAGGCTTCATAGTAGAGAGAGAGTTCCACGTGGGCTCAAATCCTACCTCTCTCCTCTCCTAGCTGTGTGACCTTAGAAAAAAGACTTATGTCACCTAACTATTCTTTTAGTTGTGAAATGAGCATAGATGTGGAGAATTCAGAGAGTCTGAATTCATAGATGCTGGGGGATGAAACACGTTAGTGTGGCCTGATGCCCAGCATGGTGCCTGGCCCCGGGCTGGTCCTTTCCGTGAAAGCACAACAACAAGTTCTCACTCTCCATTCTCTCACCAAGTGAGCATCCCCAGCCCCTCACTTAGCAATGCCTTATCTGCTGGCATGCTTAAATATTACCTCATTTCTAAACTTAGTTAAGATTTGGTTTGGCTGTGGATAATAGAGGCCCCAAATATCAGCAGCTTAAACTAGATAGGAATTCATTTCTCTGTAGCAGAAGTTTGCAGTAGACAGTACTGCTGATCATTCTGCTCATGAGTCCTGGGGGACCTAGGCAAGAGCTCTTTTTTTCTCCCTCATGCAAGCCTCTCATCTCACTTCCCATCTTCAGTAAAACAATAGAAGAGAATATGGCCAATAGACACAGGCAGTCAGATCTGAGAACAATGAAGAGTAAGACTGAGTTTTGATATTTTTTGAGTTCTTTGTAGTCCTTGAGGCCAACTCCACCCCAATATCTCAGTTTTATATCTCCAATAAGTCTGTGTTTTGTTTCAATGTGAGTTGAGTTTCTGTCATTGCAGCTGATAGACTCATGACAAATGTATGCCTCTAACTCAAAACTCATAGGAAGCACTGCTCATGGTCCTGGCTGTGAGTCTGGGGTAAGTTAAAGTTCTTTGGTTTTAAAACTAGTATTTTTTTAAAAAAACTAAAAAATCGTATCATCTGTAAATGTGCTAAGCAAATTTATCATTTTAAAATGTAAGCTTAGCCAAGAATGTAGGAGCATGCAACATGGCGCCAAGGTGCTTTAGTGCAAATCTGGGTCCTTTTACTTAACTAGAGGATGATTCTGGCAAGCCACGTGATCTGTCAGTGTCTCAGAGAGATGCTAACCAATCTACCTCGTAGGATTGTTCTGAGGATTAAAGGAATTAATATTGGTACAAGTTAAAATAGTGTTTGGATCATATTAGCTATAATACTTTATAAGATACTTCTATAAATTGCTAAGATCTGTTTTGGGGGCTCTCAAGTGCAGGCAGAGGTATATATTAATTTCAATCTTCTGTTCATGGAAAAATTAATAACCATTAATTAGTTGCTTTATAAAAACTTTATTGGTGATTTAAAAATATTTTAAGTAACTACTCTAGAATTTACCAACTTAATATTGCCAGATTTTAATATATGGGGATTGCTTCATACAAGATAAATCTACACACTTAGAATTAAAATATGGCACAGTTTCCTGATAAAATATGGCATGGTTTTATTTTGCTATAAAAGTATCCATATAAATCCAGTATTATGGATGGAATGTAGGTTTTGCAAGCAATTTTATCATTGCCTTTACCTTTTCTTTCAGCAATATTTTCTGAAGGCTTATTTGGAAAGCTGGGTCTCAGGAGTGTTACAGGTCATAGCTGGTACTTTAACAGTAGCAGGCCTGGTGAACTGAGAATCATGAGCAGAGCTTCAGAAAGTATGCAGTATCAGGGTTCCAAATCAGTAAAAGAGCTGGACTCCAGTAAGCAGATATTAAGAATTAGGTTATGTTAATGGAATCTGTGTCTGGCCAACTGACACTTTCTGAATCGTCAACTGTGTGATATGTCCTGGGATTAAACATAATCTTGGTGCATGTTGAGAAGGAGTACCAGCTCTTGGTTCAATATGTGTAAAGCTCTCAAGACTCAGCAAGGGAAAGATAGCCCAGAAATGTACACTTAAATGTTCATGCTTCTGCAAAGAATCTCAGACCCTTTTATAAACATCTAAATGAACAACCTCTTTGCCCTAACTCAGGCAGCATCTCCCTTATCATTAGTAAGGGATGGCCCTAACCTGCAACAAGTCTCCTGTAATATTCTCACAGCTAGTTGTTTTCAGTTACTTCAACTTTTTTCCAAAGCCAAGCTGCAGAATGTCAGAGCCTGAGACAACTGGAGCAATCCTCTTCATTCCCTGCATTATTTTACAGATGAGGGAACAGAGGCTTAGAGAGGAAGAACCTGTCCAGGATGGTGCAGCCAATGGCAGCCTCAGGAAGAGGATCCTGACTAGTTCTCTGAAAGGTGGCCAATCATTATTAGTAATTAAACAGAGGGACATTTTTCTCCGTGAATTGATTTGCGTGTGACCTACTACCATTATTTGCAGATCCTACTGAATCAGTAAGTCCAAGGAATAGCTAACCAGGAATTTGAGCTAGCAGGGACAATCCAAAATGCAACTCCAGGACAGACCTGCTGCTGTGGCTGGAGCTCTGAAGCCAGCACTGTAACTGACATGGCAGTCTGACTTGTCACCCCTAAAGGAAGGCTTTCTAAAGAGTGGCTACCTGGGAATTGTCATGCTTGTCATCAAAACAGAGGGTAAAGCATTTTGTTAGGCAAACCCAGCCTGTTTATAGTATTCCACAGTGTATATAAAAGTCAGTGGCTGGTTACTAGCTTGTGGCAAATAGTTATAGGAAAATGCTATCTAGATGGTTGGCATAAAGTCTAAATGATATTTCCACATCTAAATGTACTCTCAAGGGTAATAACATGTTGCTTGTGATCACTGCAGAGCTGTTAGCACTGCCAAGTTTGGATTTTTAAAACCATTCCTGTCATGAGCTTTTTGACTCTTGAGTGCTAAGCAAGCTGGGGATTTTGGGGTTTTTTTACTAGCTGATCTGTTGAAGAAATTGGAACTGGGGTGCAAGTGAAGGTGTAAGGTAAGAAAATAATTGTGATTTACATTTTATTTTATTTAGAAGTTGAGCAAATATTTATAAGGAGAGAAGTTGTCTGATATAGTTGTTATTGAAAGTAACTTTTAAAAGACAAAGGCCTGATTCTTAAATGCTTCTTGCCTGTGTTTCCTTAATGTCGCCTTTGTTTTCTACACATCCATGAGCACAGTCTGTTTTCTTGCTAGCCTTCCTTTCTTTTTCTTTAGTCCTTCCAAATTTCCTTTCACAACCTCTAGCTTGGAATATAGGGTAGAGCCAAATGCTGTGTACTCTCAGCCACGAGGCACTATAGCATTGGTTCTGCTGCCTGGGTGGGTTTTCTCCTGTCCTGGACAACCCAACTCTGTTGCTAAGGGAGACACGAGGCATAGGGTACAGTTGTGGGGGATGTTTCCCGAGTCCTTTCCTGGGAATGATTGTGTGGTCAACTGAGACCATCAGCAGCAGCAGTGGCATGTCACATGGTCCAGTGGTTGGAAAGAGCCCTGTACTCAGGGTAAGGTTAGCTAGGTTCTGGTCCACGTTTCTGTGTAGTCCTGGGCAGATCACTCAATTTCTTGAGAATCTTTTTCCTCATCTATTAAGTGACAGTGTTGGACGATGTAAGCTCTAATTCCTTTCCATTTCCAATGTTCATGATTCAGGAGACTCTATTTGATCCAAGGCATATCCAATTCTATTTAATAAAAGTCGTGTTATGACGGGATTCCTCTCTACATTCTCAAAAGAAAATAAAAATAGATATTTATTTTGGAGTTATAGTAATTGAATATGACCGCTTTTGGTGAAATTCCAGAATCAGGGAGCTTACTAAGCATTAATGGAGGAGCATAATGAGCCGAGGTCTCAGTCTGATTTTTCATTTTAAATTGAATATCATTGATTCATCTCCCACTTATGTACCCTGAAAATATCAGTCATCAACAGAGCACAGTCAGAATTCCATGTGAATCTGTTATTCTCATGGCAGGTAGAGTTGCACAAGTCTCTAGTGGAGAGAATCTCATGGAAGTTAGTGGGACCCCTGTCTCAAATGTCTCCTTAGTTATTGTAAGGAGCTGTAATCACTCCAGCTCTCTGTATTTTATTGAGTATGTTCTCATAGATGAAAATTGTTGGACAAAACAGCCAAACTTGTGGTTGAATACTACTGATTGGAGAGGAAAAAAAGGACTAAATAAGAGCTCTCCTTTATAAAATGTTGAAAAAAAATCACCCTGGGTGCAGCAGTTCACGCCTGTAATCGCAGGGCTCTGGGAGGCTGAAGCATGAGGACTGCTTGAACCAAGTAGTTTAAGGTTGTAGTGAGCTATGATTGCACTACTGCACTCCAGTCGGGGTGACAGAGTGAGACCCCAACTTAAAAAAATTCAGTGCCATCTAGGAATCTGGTTCATACAATCATCTAGACCAAAGGATCTCAGCTTAATATAAGGATCCACTGGTGAGTCTCCATTTGTTTGGGATGTGTTGCAAATAATGTGTTAAGAGATATTAGGTATAATAGATAAAGTAATCTAGTTGCAAAATTTCATATGAAAACAATTAGAGCAGATTCAAGGTAGGTGAGAGGGAAAGGGGGTTTAATTACAACCGGTGTACAGGGAACTATGTATTACTCTGGGGGTTTCCATGAGACTGAGTCTTACATATGAACTCATCTTGCCTGGCAGGAAAAAAAAAGTTGAAAACTACTGAACTAAAAGATCACTTGTGAAACAGTCTCATACCAACCTAGACTGAGCCATCACTAGGGGCTCAGCGAGCACTAAAATTGATAGATATATCATTATATGTCACTGCGGTGATCACAGACACACACGTTCAACTTTTCTTTATAAGATGTACACATTCACTATAAAGAAATATTTAGATACTTGGAATATTTAGATATAAAAAGTAAATCATAACCCCAGATACAATCATAGTAACCTATCTCTAAGAGTTAATCTGATAATTAAGTGAGTGAATGTAACTGTCAAACATCACAGCTGTGCCTGGCTCAGAGCCAGCAAGCACATCTCAGTGTGAACTGGGATCATAATCATGTATTTGGGCAAACATCCCTTTTGATTTCCCCTACAGCTGCTCCTCCTCCAGTGTTTCCTAACTCAGTAAGTGGCACTCTCGTGTTTTAAAGTTTCTCAGGCTGAAACGTCACTCCTTTCCGTGTCTCTCACTGTGTATCCAGTACATTAGATAATCCTATTGATTTTACCTTTAATATATATCCATGCCTCATACAAAGAGTAACAATTAATTGAAACAGTGTCTTATTAATGAAACTTTGGATTGATTTCAAATTTTTCCCATCATAAAAACTGCTGGCATAGGCATTTTTAGGAACACTCCTAATTATCACGGGATAAGTTGTTGGAAGCGAAGTGTGACCTCAGATATAATTATTTGCAGACTTTTACTACACTACAGACTCCCAGATTATCTTTTAGGGTAGTTGTGCCAAATTTGACGCCACCATCAAAATAGAGGCAACCTTTATTATAAAGCTTGTGTTTGCATAGAAAGATTCCAGTGGCAGGGTTTTATTCATTGAGCTTGAATTGCACCAGAAAAGGTCAAATGTACTTAGCAGCATTTCAGATGTTTTGAGGGTGGTAAATATGAGGAATATGATGGAAATCATTTTGATTTGAAGCATTAATCTGCTTTGGGACTGTTGACTTGCAGAACAGTGAAAGGACTGACGATCCTTCTTGCCAGGCAAGCAAGAAACCACTCTTCTCCCAACTGCAAAAAGCCTGTAAGACAAATTGTTTCTAAAGCCGACAATTCTGCCCTAACACAGGATGGCTACGTCACCTCAAGTTGGAGTAGGGAGGAAAGAGGAGGATGGAGGAAAGAGAAATCTTCTAGGAAATACTTCATGGTTTCAAGAAGTCTTGAGCAAAGGTTGCCAGAGAACATTCCTAAAGATGTGTACAGGCAGTTCAGTCTTGCTTGCATGACTTTCTCTGAGATATACCAGCCTCCATGACCCAATTGTTTCCCTTGTAATGTTGGTTAAAATCAGAGATTCTCATGCCAAGTCTGAATGAGTTAAATAAAGATGCATTTTTGTGGTGTTTTATCTACTGGTCTTCAATGGACCTCTAACAAGTGGGAATGAAAGTGGGTCACCCCGCCCTAGGAAGCTGGCCCTAGGGAGGCCTAGTAGCCACCTGGTTTAATACTTAGGGTTAGAAATATAAAACTACCCTTGCAGTTTTGCACAACTTGTATTCAGGGAGCAGGACTGGAAAAATGTGGTATTTCAGAGGGCCTGCAGTAGGTTCTTTAGAAATTCCTGTGAGCCAGTGTCAGGAGAACAAGGAAGACTGTCATAGGAAAGCTATGCATGTCCGTGGAATTGCACCCTTTTCCCTTATCTCTATTCTGTTGCTTGGGGACTTTGATGTTGTTTTTTTCTAAGGATGGGGTGGTGGAGTTATATTAGATCCATGTTTTCTGGACACAGGGTCATAGCTTTCTCAAACTTACACATACTGGTCCTCTTAAATCTGGCAGGAGAATTTAGATAGATAACCACCCTGCCACATGGTTAGGGATAGATAGACTTCTCTAGCTGTTATTCCATCATCTCTCTAATATTAGGAAGCATCTCTGTGAGCAATAAAGGTAACCAACTCCAAATTTTTCTGACCAAGAGCAGAACAGAAATCCTGCTAACGTCATCATAACTGCAAAGTTCTTAGACAAGAAAGAGGATCTACTGGAAACATTTTGTAATCTACCCTGCTCTTTGTGAATGCTTTACAGTACTTAATCCATACAACAAGTACTTTTTCCTTTGGAACAATTTTAAATTCATTATTGTGGAAGTCCGAGAGATAAGCTCTATAATTTCAATTCCTGCCCAGAAGTGTGGAATTGGCCGAGAAACTGCTAGAATGAACCGAATTTCCCAACAGTTTCACATGTTGGAGAATTTACTCATCCCATCTTCCAAGTGTTGCCCTAAGAGCCAGCGTGGAGCAGGAGACATGCATTAGCTCCATACCCCCTGCTTCCTGGACCCACAGAGTGGAAACTGGTCTCTCCATGACTCAGGATGAGGGGGTTGGACTGGGGACCCTGCTGTTCCCCCTCAGGGTGTCCGATTTTTATCTCCCTGATTTCACAGTTTGTTAATAACATTTTTCAAAAATTCTGTGGGCTCCAACATTGTTTCCACAGTTTTATTTTATTTTTGGCGTTAAAGATTTAATTTTGCTATTTTGTGAGAATGAAAATGCTCTTGTCCTGTAATTTAAAGTGTGTAACATTTCAGTGTTAAGTCCTGGACTGGAGAGATGTAAATTGATTTTTTGGGCCACTTGAAGGTGAGCCAAGTGGTTCTCTCTTGTTTTGAAGAAAGGGCCTTCCTCCTGCAGGGGCTGTATCCAGACAGCCCTTGCACAAGTCACATTCATGGCACCTACAGAAACGAAGCTTGGGAGCTTGATTCTCCTGGAATCAACCTGTGCTAATGGGCTAATGAACTAGGTGAGACCTCTTCAGAGCCTTGCCTGCTTCAGTCAATAGACTTTGGGTGAACATGTCCTATGTGCCATGCACAGTGTATGAGATGCTGGGGTACAAACATGGAGGAGACAGTTTGTCTCTTCCAAAGACTCAGAGCCGGGGGTTGTAATTGGAGGCTGGGGCCACATTGCAGCTCTGCTGCTTACTCGTATGACGAGGTCAGTCTCTTGACCTTGCTGAGTCTCAGTTTTCTCATGTGTAAAATGGCTCCACACATCTGAGTTGTGATGAGAATCAGTTGTCAGACGCTGTCCACAGTCTCCCTGAGATTCACACTTGGAAATACAAATGAGGGCTTGCAATTATGTTCTTCATCCTTCAGAGACCTAGTAGTCCTTCATCTGTAAAATCATTTCTCTGCTCCTCAGGGTCGTGATGAAGATCAAGCACAATGATCTCTGAAAATCTTTTAAAATGATGCTAGCATGCACTAGGTGGTCAATAAGTGTTACTTTTCTTCCTTTCAAAACCTTCTGTGGCCCAGATGCCTGATCAGACTAGAGAGGTTAGTTAGGGAGGTATGTTGTTTGAACCCTGAGGTGTCCTCCTATCTTTCTATCTGTTAATTTTGTGTTTATTTTCAACACTTGTTAAACTTGGGAGTTTCCAATAAAATTCTGGTTTTCTACTTCTCCCTTTTAAATATGTTGTTAAAAGCAGTACATATACAGAATTGTAAAAAGCCAAACAGTAGATAAGAATTAGAAATGTCAGTTTCCTACCTTCCCATCCTAAGACTCCCCAGAGGCAGCTGCTTTTGTTTAATTTAGCTTTATTCCTGTACGTAGTTCTGTATTTCTAAATAATGATACTGCTACTTTTCATTATAATTATTGACTTTTCTTATCAAATATAAACATTTAAATCCCTTAAATAACTCGTGATATGGCTTGGCTCTGTGTCCTCACCCAAATCTCATGTCGAATTGTCATCCCCAGTGTTGGAGGAGGGGCCTGGTGGGAGGTGCTTGGATCATGGAGACAGACTTCCCCCTCAGTGCTGCTCTCATGATAGTGAGTGAGTGCTCAAAGATTTGGTTGTTTAAAAGCATGGCACCTCCCCTGTTTCTCTCTCTTTCTTTCTCCTGCTTCATCATGAGGACAATGCCTCCTTTCTCTTCACCATCTGCCATGACTGTAAGTTTTCTGAGGCCTCCCCATAAGCAGAAACGTGTACAGTCTGCAGACCTGTGAGCCAATTAAACTTCTTTGCCTTATAAATTGCCCAGTCTCAGGCAGCAGTGTGAGAACAGACTACTACAGGAAATTGCTACCAGAGAAATTGGGCATTGCTATAAAGATATCTGAAAATGTGGAAGTGACTTTGGAACTGGGTAATAGGCAGAGGTTGGAACAGTTTGGAGGACTCAGAACAGGACAGGAAGATATGGGAAAGTTTGGAACTTCCTAGAGACTTGTTGAATGGCTGTGACCAAAATCCTGATAGTGATATGGACAGTGAAGTCCCTACTGAGGTGGTCCCAGATAGAGATGAGGAATTCACTGGGAACTGGAGTAAAGATCACTCTTGCTATGCTTTAGCAAAACAAAAAACGAAAAACAAACAAACAAACAAAAAACTGGCAGCATTGTGCCTTGCTCTAGAGATCTAAGGAACTTTGACTTTGAGAGAGATTATTAGGTTATCTGGTGGAAGAAATTTCCAAGCAGCAAAGGGTTCAAGATGTGGCCTGGCTGCTTTGAAAGGCCTACAATCATATGCATATGCAAAGAAATGACCTGAGACTGGGACTTATATTTAAAAAGAAAGTAGAGTATAAAAGTTTGGAAAATTTGCAGCCTGGCCATGTGGTAGAAAAGAATAACCCATTTTCTGGGCAGGAATTCAAGCCAGCTGCAGAAATTTGCATAAGTAAAGAGGAGCCAAATGTTAATAGCCAAGACAATGGTGAAAAATTTTGGAAGGCATTTCAGAGACGTTTGCGGCAGGCTTTCCCATCATAGGCCCAGAGGCCTAGGAGGAAAGAATGGTTTTGTGGGCTGGGCCCAGAGCCCTGCTGCCCAGCATAGCCTTGGGACACTGCTGCCTGCATCCCAGCTGTTCCAGCTTCTCCAGGCTTGGCTAAAGTGCCTCAGATACATTTCAGGCCACTGCTCCAGAAAGGGGAAAGCTGGAAGCTGCTAAGGCTTCCACATGGTGTTAAGCCTGTGGGTGCACAGAGAGCAAGAATTGAGGTTTGGGAGCCCCGCTGCTTGAATTTCAGAAGACGTATGGAAATGCCTGTATGTCCAGGCAGAAGTCTGCTGCAGAGACAGAGACCTCATGAAAAACCTCTATGAAGGCAGTGCAGAAGGGAAATGCGGGGCTGGAGTTGTTGCTGGGACACCACCTAGTGGAGCTGTGAGAAGACAGCCACCATTGTACAGACCCCAGAATAGTAGATCCACCAACAGCTTGCAGGATGTGCCTGGTAAAGCTGCAGGTACTCAATGCCAGACCATGAAAGCAGCCATGCGGACTGTACCTTGCAGAGCCACAGGGGCATACTTGAAGTCTTGGAAAACCCACCCTTTGTATCAGTGTGCCCTGAATGTGAGACATGAGTCAAAAGAGATTTTTTTGGAGCTTTAAGATTTAATTACTGCTCTGCTGGGTTTCAGAATTGCATGGTGCCTATAGCCCCATTGTTTTGGCTGATTTCTCCCTTTTGGAAAGGGAGTATTTACCCAATGCATATACCACTGTTGTATCTTGGAAGTAACTAGCTTGTTTTTGATTTTACAGGCTCATAGGTTCAAGGGATTTATCTTGTCTCAGATGAGACTGGACTGTGGACTTTTCAGTTAATGCTAAAATGAATTAAGACTTTGGGGGACTGTTGCTAAGGCACGATTGTATTTTGAAATGTGAGAAGGACATGAGATTTGGGAGGGGCCAGGGGCAGAGTGATGTAGTTTGGCTCTGAGTCTCCACCCAAATCTCTTGTTAAATTGTCATCCCCAGTGTTGGAGGAGGGGCCTTATGGGAGGTGGTTGAATCACGGGAGTAGATTTCCCCCTCAGTGCTGCTCTCCTGATAGTGAGTGAGTGCTCAGAGATTTTATTGTTTAAAAGTATGTGGCATCTTCCCCCTCCCTCCCTCTCTCTCTCTCTCTCTCTCCTGTTCTGCCATGTAAGGATGGTGCCTACTTCCTCTTTGCCTGCCACCATGATTGTAAGTGATAAGATTTGGCTCTTTCTCCACCCAAATCTCATGTTGAATTCCCATGTGTATGGGAAGGACCAGGTGGGAGGTAATTGAATCATGTGGGCAGGTCTTTCCTGTGCTGTTCTCATGATGATGAATTAAGTCTCACAAGATCTGATGGTTTTAAAAATGGGAGTCTCCCTGCACAAGCTCTCTTCTTTTGTTTGCCAACATGTGAGATGCGCCTTTCACCTTCTGCTATGATTGTGATGCCTCCCTAGCCATGTGAAACTGTAAGTCCATTAAATCTCTTTCTTTTGTAAATTGCCCAGACTCAGGTATGTCTTTATCAGCAGTGTAAAAACAGACTTATACAGTAAATTTCCTGAGG